TATCAAGAATAATGCTGAGGGACCAGCAGTTAGCGTAATGGCTATGTCGCTGGACTCCCATGTAGTTGACCGTGGTTAGAGCCCCGGACCCGGCGGCTTAAACTCACGCTGGGCGTGTGTGCGTGCATGCCCAAGATCCTGAGAGGAGATTGGAGGAGAAGGAATTGTGGCGTGGCCATCCCCCCCTGGGGGGTGATTTCTTGCTTTCTATCTCTCTGTCTCTCTCTGTCTGGCGAGCTCAGGAGCCCTATAGCGAAAAACCTCTCCCCCCCCCAAAAAAAAGAATAATGTTGAATTTCATTGGAAAGTTCAGACCACAATAACACTGCAAATTCAAGAGAAAAGAGATTACATGAGACTGAATTGGTGAAATAGAACTCTATGATTTTTTTCTAAAACATTACCGATTTTCTTCTATGCTTTGTCGTCCAGATTTAAGAATTTTTATATAATTTTTAAAAATTGAAACATAAACTTTTCTCCCTGCCTGACCCCTTTGCAATTGGAAGATATTTGTGAGCATTCTTTTGTGGCTGAATGGTTATTTTCATAAGTTCAGTTATACAATAGTATATGTTGCCTTGCATCAGAAATTGAATTCTTATGGGGCTTTGTGCAACTAAAATTGAGATTACCCTAATTAAAAAAAAAATTAGCAAATAAGTTAGTTTATACCTCTCTTTAGTAAAAGGGGATGGAGAGAGGAAAAAAAAAGTTTCAGAAGAAAATTACACTGCACTTGTTACTAGATTCTAACTTTGTCCATACTTTAAGATATTTTGTGAATCAATAAAATGTGAAAAAAAAATTTAGTATAGAAGGGAGGAAAAGGAAAGAGGAAGGAAAAACAGGTAAAAGTATGCTTTATTGAAAAATGAGAAGCTCTTTGCTGATGATAATGTATATAGTAATATCCTTGTCTTGACTGACATGCACAGTATTTGTGTTGAAAAAAGAAATGTACATACACTGTAAAGACATGATAAAATTGTGGACATTTAGGTTGGTTCCATATCTTGGCAATTGTGAATAATGCTGCAATAAACATAGATGTGCAAATGTTTTTCTGAATGAGGGTTTCTCTATCCTTTGGGTAAATACCTCGGAGTGATATTACTGGGTTGTATGGAAATTCTATTTGTAGGTGTCTGAGGAATCTCCATACTGGTTTCCGTGGGGTTGTATTAATTTGCCTTCTCACTAAGACTGTTGGAGAGCTCCTTTTTCACCACAGTCTTGTCAGTACATATCATTATTTATTTTTAAAATTTTAGCCATTCTGAATGGGTTTAAGTGGTATCTTATTGTGGTTTTGATTTGCATTTCCCTTGTGATAAGAGACATCGAACATCTTTTCATCTGCTTTTTGGCCATTCATATGCCTTCTTTGCAGAGTTGTCTGTTCAGCTCATTTTACCATCTTTTCATTGGATTGATTTTTTTTTTTTTTTTGTGGGTGTGTGGGTAAGCTGCTTGAGTCCCCTGTATATTCTGATTATCAGTCCCTTATCTAAGGCATATATTCTCCCACTCCAAAGGTTGTCTTCTTACTTTAATTATTGTTTCTTTTGCTGTGCAGAAGCTTCTCAGCCCAATATAGTCCTATTTGTCAATTTTGGGAACTATGGCCTGTAGTTGGGGGTCTCCTATAAGAAATACTTGCCTACCCTAAGGTCTCCAAGAAATTTTCCTATGTTTTATAACAGTATTTTTATACTTTGAGGTTTTATGTTTAGATCTTTAATCTATTTGAAGTTGAATTTTGTTAATGGTGAGAGATAAAGGTCCAGTTTTATTCTTCTGCAGGCTGATAACTTTGAGGTCAGGAAATGAGATGTCTTTTACTTTATTCCCCTTGCACAGTGTTGCTTTGGTGATATAGGGCCTTGTATGATTCTCGACAAATTTTATGATTATTTTATCTATTTCTCTGGAAATATCTCTAGTAGTTTGCTTGGAATTGCATTGAATTTGTAGTTTAATTTGGGTAGGATTGACATCTTGAGTATACAAATTCTTTCAACCCAGGAACCTGGCATGTTTTCCAATTTTTTTGTACCATGTTTAATTTCATTTTCGAGCATATCAGTTTTCCTTGTAGAGATTTTTGTCATCTTTTGTAAGATTTATTCCTAGATAACTTACTGGTTTTTTGAATATTGTAAATAGGATTTCTTTCTTCAATGATGTCTTAGTTAGTCCATTGTTGGTGTATAAAAATGCTATAGCTTTTTCTATATTCATTTTGTTTCCTGTAATGTTAATAAACTCAGCACTTCCAGTAGTTGTTTTGTGGATTCTTCTTGATTTTCTATGTAGAGCATCATATCATCTGCAAATAGACGTAATTTCACTTCTTTTCCTACTTGGATGCCTTTTATTTGACTCTCTTGTTTGATTGCATTGGCTAGTACTTCCAGTACTATGTTAAAAAGAAGTGGAGAAAGTGAGCTGCCTTGTCTTGTTCCAGTTTTTAGTGAAAAAGCTTTCAGCTTTTTTCCTTTCAATATGATGTTATCTATGGGTTTATCATAAATAGCTTTTATTGCATTGAGGAATGTCTCATCTATGCAGATTTTGATGAGTCTTAATCATGAAGGGAGGTGGTATTTTATCAAATGTTTTTTTGTCTCAATTGATATGGTCATATGGTTTTTATCGTTCCTTTTAATAACATGATGTAGTACATTTATTGTTTCTCATATGTTGAATCATCCTTTCTTCCCTGGAATAAAGCTTATTTGGTCATGGTGTATAATCTTTTTAATATGTTATTGAATACGATTTGCTAGCATCTTGAGAATTTTTACATCAATATTCATCCGAATATTGACCTGAAGTTCTCTTGTTTTAGTCATGTTCTTGTCTGATTTTGGACTTAAGATGGTGGAGGATTCATAAAGTGAATTTGGGAGGGTGCCTTCCTTTTGAATTTGTTGAAAAAAGTTTGCGGAAAATTGGTGTTAATTGTTCTTTAAATGTTCTGTATAATTCAAAAGTAAAGCCTTTGGGACCTGAGCTCTTTATTGGGAAACTATTGATGATTCACTTTCATTGCTTTTTATGGATCTATTCAGACTTTTGTTTTGTTTTGGAGAGGTTTTTGCTGTAGGGCACGTGTGCCCGCTGGAAAGAGAGATAGAAAAACAGAAAACGAGAAATCATCCCCCAGGGGGAATGGCCATGCCACGATCCTTCTCCTCCACTCTCCTCTCAGGATCTTGGGCAGGCACTCACACACACGTGCGGCATGAGTTTAAGCCACCAGGTCTGAGACTCAAACTGTGGTCGACTACATGGGAGTCTGGTGACATAGTCATTACGCCAAATGCTGGTCCCCTTTACTCAGATTTTTTATTTCTTTCTGGTTCAATCTTGGTAAGTTATACGTGTTCAGAAAATTGTGCATCTTGGGATCAGAGCTTGTATATTCATTTAGTGAAGCTGATCTTGGGATGTGACATAGGAAGGGGCTCATACTTCCACAACAGCCCCAAGGATAAGTTGATTCCATGCCATAAATAAATGGTCATGGGATGTTTACATGGCACAGTCAGACAAGAGGTTGGCTCTCAGGAGATACTGTGAGGAAGGAGGTAGATAAGAAGAGCTCCATGTATGGAGCCTTCCCTCAATAATAATAAATATTTCATTCTGTGCTTCTTCCTTTTGATCTAATTTATCTTATTCATTTCCTCTTAACCTACTATCTCTTAAATATTACGCCCACATTGCTATTTATTTTTAGTTTATGTGATTATATTGTCATCTTTATATGCTGTTTAATGTAATTTAGCTTTTTACAAAAGGTTTATTCATTTATTTATTCCATAAATAAGAAAGATAAAAAGAGTGCGTGTGTATGAGAGTGAGAGAGAGAGGAAGCAATACCTCCAACAAGGTCTACTCAACAATCCTAATCTACTCTTAACCTCAGCCAACCCCAAGGCAGGAGCACACATGTGCCTGGTGTTCTCAGAATGGTCTCTGGACATCAGCCTAGAATCTTCCTGAGAAAGAGTAACATTTTATAATTGTGCCATTGAGTGAAACTTCTTGTGATTTAGTTTTACTGTTTATTAAATTCTTATCACTATTGGAATTTAATTGTTTTTTAACTTGTAAGTTTCAACTCGTTATATCTATTAGCTCTTTATTGTCATAACATTACTAAGTGTTGTATTATATAATTCCTGCAGGGGAAGACTACTTCTCTAATTTCCATATCACACAGGTTGCCTTTTTTTTTTTTTTTTTTTTTTTTTGGTGGTTTTTGCTAGAGGGACCTTGTGCTTGGAGCACCAGGTTGCCTTTTTTTTTTTTTTTTTTTTTGTAGAGGTTTTTGCTACAGGGCACATGTGCTTGCGAGAGAGACAGAGAGACAGAGAGACAGGAAGCAAGAAATACCCTCTAGGGGGGATGGCCATGCTGAAATCCCTTCTCTTCTATTCTCCTCTCAGAATATGGGCACGCACACACACTTGCCTGACATTATTTTAAGCCACTGGGTTCGGGACTTGAACCATAGTCAAACACACGAGAGTCCAGCGACATAGCCATTACACCAACTGCTGGTCCCAACACACAGGTTGCCTTACTAAGAGAATTGTGGAATTGCTGAGTCACCAGGATAACCTCCACCTGTGGTCCCGAATTCTATTTCTTTTAGTTGTGGACAGAACTCTTGCAATCCTTGCTGTTATTTGATCTACCTCTTATGTCCCTTCTACTGTCTCTACTAGATCTTATAAAAATTACTTTTATCTATAAAAATTAAACAAAAAACACCACTTCTTTGACACTATTTCATGCCTCTATTTCCTCTAGTATTTGGTAAGCTTTTTAGTGAAATCCTTTCACAGGGGGATTTATACAGTCCCAGTTTCTTCTCATCCCTCTCTCTTATGATGCCACTCAGTTCTGACTGCCAACTGAGGTAACAATGTGTCCTGCATAACCTCACTCAGTCATCTCTCTTCCCATTGTTGATATGGTCCCTACTTATGTGGTAATGGGCAGTTTTTTTCATTCGTCTCTTCCTGAATGGACAGGAAACATAGTTTCTGGAGGGTGGAGGAACCAGCTGCAGGTAGGTTCTTAAAATTGCTTAGGGTTGCATAATAAATTGGAGACAATAAAGAAAAGAGCTTTCAGGGACCAGAAGTTGGCATAATGACTATGTGGCTGTGCTCCCATGTAGTCAACCATGGTTCGAGTCCTGGACCCAGCAGCTTAAACTCATGCTGGGCACATGTGTGTGCGTGCCCAAGATCCCGAGAATAGAATGGAGGAGAAGGGATTGTGGTGTGGCCATCCCTCCTGGGGGGTGATTTCTCGCTTTCTGTCTCTCTGTCTCTCTGTCTTTCAGGCGAGCGCACATGGCACATGCCCTATAGCAAAAACCTCTTAAAAAAAGAGCTTCCAGAATATAAGAGCTTGAAATATGTACATATTTTCTTTTCTCTTATATGTTGAAATTTAATCTGGAATGCAACACCTGTACAAGGCGGGGCATTTGGGATAGTGAGGTCACAATGGCAGATTTCTTATAAGCGGGATCAGTGAGCCTAAACCAGCTTATTTGCTGTTTCTCTATAAGGACACAGGAAGAAGTCACCATCTGTGTCATCAGACCCTCACTAGACATGGAATGTGCTCGCACTTTTATCCTGGACCTTTCTACCTCTAGAACTATGAACCTTAAATTTCTGCTATTTATAAATTACCCAGTCTAAAGTATTTTGTTTTAACAGCCCAAATGGACTAAGACACTATTATCATCATCATCTTTATATAGGTTTTGTTGTTGAGACCAGAGTAGTAAATTTTCATTGCTCCCATGCTAAATTAAGCATGACTTATTTAAACATTTTACTACAAACACTTCTCCTTTTTTAGGTCAAATCACTCAACTAAGATACATTTTTTTAAGTGAATGATTAAAATGCTAAATGAAAGCTTCAATAGTAAAATTGTTTTATCCCTAATTTGTTTCTGTACTCTCCCCAAAAAAGTCAGAAACATTTAGTTTACTGAGAGAACTGTGGAGGTGGTTTAAGTAAAAGGTGAAGGAGATGTTGCAGGTGAGTGAGGGTTAGGTCAACGGGCATCTGTGTGATCAGGCATGCGTATTCAAACATATCCACTGAGGATAAGCAGATTATGGGGTCCTTACTGGACCTCTTTCAAGCCCAGGAGGTGCTACCTGGGCCACAGTATTAAAGGAGCCCTTTATTTATACTTTAGCCTTGTCTGAAAATGACTAGACATTATCGTAGTGTGATGACAATTTTTTTTCTTTTTGAGAGAGATTTTTCCTTTAGGTCAAATGCACTCCCCAGAAAGACAGAAAGAGAAAAATCACCCTCTGGGGGGATGGCCACGCAACACTTCCTTCTCTTCCATTGTCCTCTTAAGATTTTGGACACGCATGCACACCTACCTGGCATGAGTTTCAAACTGCCAGCTCTGGGACTCAAACCGCTGGTGGCCTCATGGGAGTCCAGCACCCTAACCTCTACACAACCTGGCCACAATGACAGTATTCCAAGTGATGATAGATCAATCTGTACACTCAAACATGGATAAGGAGAAAATATTTCTTGGGGTTTTCTCTAGGATTAGTAATTATCAGTGCCTGTGAGGTCTGCATCAGGATGGAGTTGTGAATGGTTCATAGTTAAAAGTTAAAGTGTGTTTGAACTTTCTGTGAAACCAGAAGTGCATACTGATTAAGTCGCTGACATATCTTTCAAGTAGAAGAACAGAGGGCTATCTTTTTCAAGTTTTATCCTCCATTGATCTTTGGATTGAGAAAGAAAAATGGACAAATGATGAATCAGAAAGATAAACCAGCACTATCAGTAACTGCGTCCTAGGAGAATGTCCGTCAATGTATTCTTGGCCATTTCTGGGAGAGTGATAGAGACTGGGGGAGAATGATCATCTCCAGGCTTTGACTAATCTGCAGGAAAAAGAACAAATACAAAAACACAACTTGTGCTCATTAACAGATTTCCTAGGGACAGGATAACAACATGTCTCAGATGGTCTGGGAAGTGCCATTTTATGTCTGCAGTTCCAGAGTATCATAATAGTCCCCTGTATTATAATAACCATTTCTGTTTGGATAATAGATTATTTGATGATCTTTCTTGGGAAACATCAGCCCACGTGATACATGATAATCCACCCTGCCACATCTTTTCCCTCTGATATAAAATTGCAGTTTAGACAACCTACTTTCGTTTAAGTACTTTTTTTTTCTTCCATGAAAGTGGACAATAGAGAGAAAAAAGAGAGAAAGAAAAGCATCTCGGGTCTTCACACCATTATCCACCCCAGCTCAGTCAGTCTAGGTTAGGCTCCATGAGTCTAGGGACATTTTGGGATGAGAAGCAACTCTAGGACCTTTCTCGTGGCATCTGGTTTCCTTACCAATGTGCCACAGTCTGCCCTAACAACCTTCAATATACAGCCTTCCATTCATCCTCTAAATCTCACGTACTTAACGCTCTTGAATATGTACACATATGTGAACATGCATGTACACATACACACACGTTAGTTTATCTTGCTGCAGCTATGTTCTTCTTTTAAAAAATGACTCCTGTGTTCTTTTATTCAGTAAATATGCTTCATTTTTCATCAGAAATAAAGATTGTGAAATAAACTAAAACTTTGACAATGACAGATGGGGCTCAAATCTAGGCTCTACCACCAGTTGCACAACCTCTGTTAACTTGGTTAAAGAAAGGAAATATCTCTCTTGAAAACTGGGTGAACTTTCAAGATACCTGGCAAATGATAAGTGTTTAGGAAAATTCCTTTTTAAGTAAATTTTATAGGATTTACAATATTATTTTATTCAACTATTAAATCACAGTTAAACATCAGTGAGGAATTACATATGTGTGCCTACAATTCTAGTTTTGTTTTTGTTTTTTTGTTTGTTTGTTTGTTTGTTTGTTTGTTTGTTTCAAAATATGCCCTTGGTCCAGCTTATGGTATGGTGGTAACTGGCTGAATCCCACATGGCCAATTGTGAAGTTCAAGTCTCACACTTGGCACCCTCAAAAACATATCAAGTGCTTGTGCATGCGTACCTCCATAATGGATGTAGAAGTGGAGAAGCAGGAATTGTAGTGTGGCATCCCCCATGAGCGGTGCTTTCTCTATCTCCAGCGAGCACATGCACCCTCTGGCAAAATCAAAACAAAACAAAAATCCTCTCACCATGCTGAGCTCCTCCTACTCCAAACTTTCAGCCAGGACTACAGACATGAGCCTAATGCCTGGTCCTTTTACACAGGATACCTTTATGTTGCCCAGGGAAGTCTCACACTCATGATCCTCCTACCTCAGCCTCTCAAAGGCACCTGTTAATTTCATGACCTTGGAAATTATCTTTCAGCATATGAATTCTGGGGAGACACAAACATTCAGACCATAGAACTTCCCTCCTTTCTTCCTTCCTGTACTCTATTTGTCCATTCATTGACCGATACATGAATTACTTCTTTAATGCAAGTACTCATATTTTTTTCAGACAAATATTTGAATACCTTCTCTATGCCAAGCACTATTCAAGGTGCTGAGAATGCGAGCTAACAAATGATGCCTTTTCCCTTTAGAAACTCGCAGCATAGTGAAGGAGAGAAAGGGATAAGCAACACGAAGTCAAACTGAGAGAGAGGGGTTAAAGAGGGATTTCAACGTTTTAGTTTCCATCCTTTGCACTATTTAACTCTTTCACCACAAGGGTGTACTCAGAAATGCTGTGGCTCCCATTGTCTCAGTTGTGACCTAAGCAAGAGCCTGCCATGGTAGAGCTTGACATGCCTAGAATGTGTCAATTCTTTCTTTTAATTATAGTAAAATATTATAAAAAATGAAAAACTAGAACTGACAATATCCATTTACAAAGTTCTTTCTCCTTTTCTGGTTTATAAAGAGGATTTTTTTTTTAATTTCTAAAGGTAAAGCTGATATGTAGGGACATAGAATAATGGGAATGAATAAATGGATGACTCTCCAAAAGCATTGTTTTGTAATAAAATTTTTAATAAGAGGTATCAAACTAGAAAGCCATAGTGGGAATGAAAACTCATCAGCAAATGCTGATTTATAAAGTCCTCCTCATTTTTTTGTTTTTCTTTTTTTGGAGAGGTTTTTGCTATAGGGCATGTGCGCTCTCCAGATAGACAGAGAGAGACAGAGAGACAGAAAGCGAGAAATCACCCCCCAGGGGGGATGGCCACTCTGCAATCCCTTCTCCTCCGTTCTCCTCTTGGGATCTTGGGCACACACGCACGCACACGTGCCCGGCATGAGTTTAAGCCACCGGGTCTGGGACTTGAACCTCAGTCAACTACATGGGAGTCCAGCGACATAGCCATTACACTAACTGCTGGTCCCCCTCCTTATTTTTTTTGAGAGTTTTGTTTTGTTTTGTTTTGTTTTTGCCTTAGGGCAAGTGGGTTCACTGGAGAGAAATAAAGACAGAGACAGTGAGAGGGAAAGTGAGAAATCAACTCCCCCACCCCAAGCCCCAAACAATGGCCTTGCTACAATTCCTTCTCCTCCATTCTCCTCCTGGGATCTTGGACATGCATGCATACATGCACAGTATGACTTTCAAGCCTCCAAGTCTGGAACTTGAACTGTGGTCAGCCATGTGAGAGTCTCATAAGCCCTATACCATGTCCTCGCTCTTTTCTTTCTTTCTTCTTCCTTCCTTTCTTTCTTCCTTCCTTTCTTCTTTCTTTCTTTTTTTCTTTCTTTCTTCTTTCTTTCTTTCTTTCTCTCTTTCTTTCTTTCTTTCTTTCTTTCTTTCTTTCTTTCTTTCTTTCTCTTTCTTTTAATTTAAAGAAAGGATTTTACCATGTCATAATCTCTCTACCTCAGTCTCCTAGCTGGGACTAGGCACATGCCAGCGTGCCTCTCTCTTATTTTTGTTTATTTGTTTATTTTTAGAAAGGGTCTCACAATATTGCCCAAGGCCACCTGGCAATCCATTTGATTTGACTTTTCTTCATCTCTGGAATAATAATTACACATCACTGTGCTCAGCCTTTAGGTTAGACTGGGAATCAAACCCAGGCCTCTCAGGTGGCCCTAAACGGAGTAGCACAGTGTCTTAGCAGCTCTGAGTCAAGCCTTGCCAAAATCTTTCTTTTCTGACAGAAGGGAACTTGAATTCATCACCATGTGTCTTTAGACACAATATTATTGAATTACACCCAAGCCCTAATTTGAACATCGGTATTTGGAAGATAAGCTTTTACTCACTTGGCGAACTTTGTAAACTCAATCCCAGATCACCTACCTTTTGATGTGTACTGAAGAGCGAGCCAACCTGAGATACTACCAGCTCTTTCTGTAACCCTGAGAACTCGTTTGCATCATGAGGCTGCTGTTCCTTCTCTTTCTCCTCCTCGTGTGTCTTATCCAGACAGAATCAGGTAAGCTGTGACTCTGACTGGTAGGATGATATGACAGATGGCTTTGGAGTACAGAGTAGGCCAAATTGGTGAACAGTTCCACGATGTACAGAAATGTGCAATGACTGAACAATATCTTAGCGGGAAAAAGCATAACATGTACAACACGCTCCATTCTATAAATAATAAATACTCAAAAACATTTTAAAAATTTCTTCTTGGATTACCATTAACTAATTGTTGTAATAGGTATAGGCATTATCATAATTACAATACTTATTATAATGACATTTACAGCAAGCTTTACAACCCACAGATCATATCCACGTGAATAAAAACAACAGCAACAACACTAATAATATAATAGCAAATGATATTGACCACTTTCTTTTCACCAAACACCACAATAAAAACTCTTGGGGACCAGCAGATATCATGATGGTTTTGTCACTGGACTTCCACATGGTCGACCATGATTGGAATCCTGGACCCAGTTGTTAGGAACTCATACCAGGTGCGTGTGCCCAAAATCTTTTTTTTTGGAGAGGTTTTCGCTATAGGGCGCGTGCGCTCGCCAGACAGACAGAGAGACATAGAGACAGAAAGCGAGAAATCACCCCCCAGGGGGGATGGTCACGCCGCAATCCCTTCTCCTCCATTCTCCTCTCGGGATCTTGGGCACGCACGCACACGCGCCCGGCGTGAGATTTAAGCCACCGGGTCCGAGACGCGAACCGCGGTCGACTACGTGGGAGTCCAGCGGCATAGCCATTACGCTAACTGCTGGTTCCCCAAAATCTTGAGAAGAGAATGGAGGAGAAGAGATTGTGGTATGGTCAACCCCCCTAGGAAGAGTGATTCTCTCTCTCTCTCTCTTTCTCTCTGCTGTGAGCACCTGTGTCCTTTAATGAAAATCTGTCTTAAAAACATAACGAAACAAAGCAGAACAAAACTCTTAATATATTACCTGACATGTATTCCTCATCACAATTTTTATAGGATATTTTTAACCTTGTTTTAGGGACGAGACTGAAAAAGTATATACTTTATTCAAAGTCACTCAGATGGTATGTAGTAAAGTCTAAAGTTTGGTTCCAAACACCACGCTCTTAGTGAAAACCTAACAATTGCAGAAAACAATTAATTACAAAACTACATATAAACAATGGTTAATTTTTAGTATGAGTATGTCCCATACGATTTGTGAGACACACTTATAGTAAAAGATTATTCTTCGTTTAGCTGGAATTTTAACTGAACTAGGAGTCCTGCATTTTACCTGGTGACTTTTCTTATGTTAGCTTGGGTCAGACTACAACATTCAAATATTGGTATCTTAAAGGATCAGTGATTTCCTTCAGACCTTCACTGGTAAGTTCTCCAAATGATGATTTCCAGTAAATACTGATGATGTCTCTGGATAGTGGATCTCAAACATTTCTCTTATGGTTTAATTTTCTAAAGCTATGTACATATGTAAAAATAAAATTACCTTAGGGGAGATGTAGGGATGTAAGTTTATTGCTTGTGTTATTTCTTAATTAGTTATACTCTTTAATGCTTTAAAAAAAGGTTAACATTCTTTGCAGAAAAAGTTGGTGAATTCCTCCCCCAAATAGTAATGAAATTACTTCTGTTGAGTAAACTTTTGATGTCATTTTATAATAAAAACTGAAAAAAACCCTTTCATTTCTATTTCTTAAAACAATGCTTTTCTATGTGTACCCTCAATAACAGATTTCAAAGAAATCATGTAAGATGATAACACATTTGAATGGTACAATAGATGTAAAAAATTTCAGTGTAAAGGAACATTTGTTTTTACATTGAATGTTTATTTGAAATCAAATGATTTTGTACACGAAGTTCAACAACATAAAAAATTTAAACTAGAAGAAAGAGCAAAGGTTTACTTCTTACACATGGTCCAACTCCATCACAAGCATATGGGTGCTCTGCTCACTGTAGCTGATCAGCCGCCACCACGAATGGATCAAAGAAAAGAGCTGTGAGGTGTCTCCTGTTGGCCATTAAGGTCTCCAGTCCCAAAAGGACACAGCACCTCTGTTCAAAATTCATTAACCATTCAAGTCTCATGGCCCTTCCCAGTCACGTGAAAGATAGGAAGACAACCGTACTTTGAGTCAAGAAAATAGGACTCAGATCCAGTCCCATGGAGTAGAGGTTAAGTGCTGCACAGAGGAAGTTGAATCTCCTCTGGTTGAACACAGCTCAAGTCCTAGTCCTGGTGGCTCAGACTCTGGAAGCACATGCCCCACCACCCTTACGATCGAGACAGGATGGAGAATTGTAGCAAAAAGTATTTTAGCATGACCAAGCACTGGTGGAGGGTGCTTTCTTTCTCTCTCTCTCGTGCACATATGCACCATCTGGTATAATAAAAGAAAAAATTCTTCTTTTAAAAGAACATAGAGAACCAGACCTATTTGGTGGACAGCCTCCTAGTGTTGGTTGATAGACAGATGGATGATATAGTTAGATGGATAGATGATAGACAAATAGCTATGGTATAGATATGGATATTTATCTATAGATATGAATATTTATATCTATTTTATATATTAATATTTACCATATAAATATTTATATCTGTTAATAAATATTTGTATCTCTGTGTATGTGTGTGTGTATGTGTGTATAAAGGAAAACTTGCTTGCCCATAACCATAATTATGGTGAAGAAAGACTTGCAAGCCAAGTATCCTAATTCCTCATTGAGCATGCAATCCATGTCAACACATTGACTTTAAAGGCTATAAACTGTGGTGAGAACATTTTTTTAATTGCCAGAGGGCAGGTTTGGTTACTAGAAGAGATTCTCCAATGGGAAGCACCCCTCAATGGGCCATTGTCTCCCTGCAATCCCTTTTCCATTTCTCAATCCTGTTAAGATTGTGGACACACACACACACACACACACACACACACACACAGACTGACAAACACGCATCTAGTATATTTTCAAGTCACCAGAGCCAAGATTTGAGCCATGGTCAGCCATGTGAGAGCCTTTAACCACTAGGCTCTAAGGCCACCCAGGAAATACTTTCTAATCATTGTTTCTTCATGACTATTTGTCATTCTCTGTCTTGACTTTAGATTTTATTCAGGGCCTCTCTACTCTATTGTTCTCTAAATTCCATAATCAATCTTCTTTTTCTCTTATTATTATTATTATTAATTATTGGAGTGGAGAGGTTTTTGCTGTAGGACACATGCGCTCACCAGAAAGACAAAGAGAGACAGAGAGACAGAAAGTGAGAAATTACCCTTCCAGGGGAGATGGCCATGCCACAATCCTTTCTCCATTTTCCTCTTGGGATCTTGGGCATGCATGCACACATGCCCAGCGTGAGTTTAAGCTGCCAGATCTGGGACTCAAACCACAGTCAAGTACGTGGGGTTCCACGACATGATCATTATGCCAATTGCTGATCCCTCTCATATCATTTTCTTAACAGCCTAAATGATTATAGAGTTATGCAGTATAAAGATATATGTGATTAAATGTAATATAAACAAACAAAGACTGATTCATTATGCATTGGCACTGATATTTAACTCTTACTGCATGGAATATTGGAGTCACAGAAACCCAGGCAGAATACTCAGTATTATTTATTCATTTGTTCAACACTTATTAATTACTTGTGCTATGGAGAGCATGTTTAGTCAAGTGGTTTATATTCCTAAATTCGTGACACAATGAAAGTAGTAAGTTTTTTTTTTTTTCTGTACAGGATCAAGTAATAAATTCTTTAGGCTTTGTGGGTCATATGTTCTCTGTTATAACAATGCATCCCATGGGACCAGCAGTTAGTGTAATGGCTATGTCGCTGGACTCCCATGTAGTCAACCGCGGTTCGAGTCCTGGACCCAGTGGCTTAAACTCACGCCAGGCGCGTGTGCGTGCATGCCCAAGATCCCGAGAGGAGAATGGAGGAGAAGGGATTGCAGCGTGGCCATCCCCCCGGGGGGTGATTTCCTGCTTTCTGTCTCTCTGTCTCTCTCTGTCTGTCTGGCGAGTGCACGCGCCCTATAGCAAAAATCTCTCAAAAAAAAAAACAAAAAAACAATGCATCCCTGCCTTTATAGTATGAAAGGAGCCATAGGCAATAAGTGTACCTGTCTTCCTACCAAACTTTATTCAGGGACATTTCAATTTGAATTTCAAATCATTTTCATGCGTCATCAAACATTCTTTTCCTATGTTTTTAAAATAATTTAAAAATGTAAAGCCATTTTAAGCTCACAGGGCATACCAAAACAGGCAGTTCATTTCACCCTGTGCACTTGCCTGCCCAAGATAAATACTTGTAGCTTTGGTTAAGAGATCTTATTATTTCATTTCTTTACCTTCTGTTCTCTTACAGGGTATGAACAAAGGAGGAAATATCTTGAATGTGAAAAAATGGGTGGTTCCTGCAAGCACCAAAAAACCCATGGATGCTCCATCCTATCTGCAGAATGCAAAAGTCGGCACAAACACTGCTGCAGACTGTAGTTGTAACACCTCGAGAGTCCTCAGGGTAGCATAAGAGACTCACCAACTCTGACTTCTGCTTAATAAAGACACCAACACTCCCATGAACCTTGAAGCTGACCTTTCAGAGGGCATACTTATAAGTGACAGGGCCTTGAACTGGAAGGGGGAGAATTAAGGTTCTAGGTTAGCCACACTGATTGGCTGACTGATATTGAATGAGGTCTTTTTTTTTTTTTTTTTTTTGCGTGTACTCTAGTTTTAATATCATTAAGTTGAATCGATTTAATACATGGTTTGTCTTAACCTAACCGAAAGTGATGCATAACAATGAACCAGAGGCCATAGCTGGAGGGCTCCTTCTCTTACTGTAATTCTGAAGACCACAGCTGGGGCTGTTGGGCCTATGTCACAGCGAAAGAGGAAGCTGGAATTTCCATGTGGATATCTGCCTCAAAGGCATGATGCTCATTGAGTTTGACAGGTTGAAGAATTGTGAATCCTTCCAAGTGCCTTAGAATGTCTTTTCTGTCCCAGCATGTTCTAGAATCTAGAGAATAGAAAAATAATGCTTTTTGAAAAAATTGGTTTCCTATAGGACTTGTGTAGCTTATTTCAGTAAATGTCTCTGAAATTAAAAATGTAGATAAATATTACAGAAGCAAATTGTGCTCCAGAGATATTTTATAAGCCCTGGTTAATAAATGAGTAGATTTGGGAACCAGCAGTTAGCGTAATGGCTATGTCGCTGGATTCCCACGTAGTCGACCGCGGTTCGTGTCCCGGACCCGGTGGCTTAAAACTCACGCCAGGCGCGTGTGCGTGCGTGCCCAAGATCCCGAGAGGAGAATGGAGGAGAAGGGATTGTGGCGTGACCATCCCCCCTGGGGGGTGATTTCTCACTTTCTGTCTCTATGTCTCTCTCTGTCTGTCTGGCGAGCGCACGCGCCCTACAGTGAAAATCTCTCAAAAAAAAAAAAAAAAGAAAATAAATGAGTAGATTTAAAAGGGAAGACAAAGAAATAATAAGTATGGGAGATAATGCGTGTGTTAAATAGCCTGATTTGGTCATTCCGTCACATATGCTTTTGTCAAAACTCATGTTGTATACCATAAACATATACAATTTTTACTTGTCATCTAAAAATAAATAAATAGTATGAAATAAATAAATAGTAATAATGAATAAAAGGTAGGAAGATGAATTGACATAAGGAAGGACATCTGATTAACATACTTCAAATTTTAAGAAAGGGAATAATTCCCAGGAATGTCTGAGATAAACACAACCTCAGATTCAGAATAACAGAATTACTAAAAAACCTGCACAAAATGGAATTAGGTCCTGAAAAACAATTTTATCACTCATACATCCTGTCATTTATGCCTCAAAATTTCCTGTCATTTATGCCTCAAAATTTCCTATCCTTCTTTGCTATTTTTTTATGGATTTTGTTCTAATAGCTATTTAATGGCTTAAATAAGGTACTTATTTATCCTCTTTATTGTCTATAAGCACATGAAAGAAGGAATATTTCAGTACTATGTTCACTACTCAATAACTGTTGAGAAAAATGAATCAATGAAATTTGATATGATTGGTGATTTTTTTTTTCTGAGTAGTCAAATATAGAAGCCAAATCAGAACCACATGTCACTCTACTGTGAGAAATACTACCACAGTTGTGACAATAAATATATGTAAAATTTATGTTTGGTGTTCCTAGCTTCTCTTTCTCCACCCATGACAAAGAGTTCCATATTTTCCACTCAAGTTCTTTTCTTTTCTTCCTTCTAAGTTTTGTTGTGTTCCATGGACCAATTGAATGTGCTTGAATCAAGAAGAAAGAGAAGGAAAAAAAAAAAGGAATAGATGCATAGGACTAGGGAAGGGATTTTCCTGAGTTTGGAAGAGATGGCAGGGAATCTATGAGTGGAGAGAGAAGTATCTGGGAGAACAAAGGAGGAATTGATTTCATGGTGAAGAAATACATATAAGGGACCAGTGTGGAAGGAGGGCAGGAGAATGGAAGAGTATAGGGAAGGAAATAAGGGAGAAAAAAATAGAGATGCAAGACATCTGTGGGACACAAAAATGGTTTATTACCTGTTAATGAGAACTTGTATAATATTCTCAACTGGACTGATCTGAGATGTATTTCATGTTGAGTAAATTCTCCTTATAAGCCAAACGAAGTATAGTAATTGACTGTTTATAATAATAATAATAATAAAGAAATACATATAAGGGACTAAATTATTTGAAATTACTACTTGGTTCTCAAGTTCTTCTGATGATATTAGACCCTTTTCCTAAAGGACATATAAACCATACTGTCAAGGCATACCATGAACTAACATCACAGGTACCCCAAATCCTCGAAATCCCATGATATTCAGGTAGACAGACTATATAGAACTCAGTGCAAATAAAAAATAATTAGGGAAGCTAGTAATTGTGTCTATCTAGATGTCTTTATAGACATTGACTTATAGCTGATAATAACCCATTGCTCAGCTGAAAACTTACACTGAGTTTTCTCCAGTTAGTCATTAATTCAGACTCAAGTTACAGTTGGTCTTGTTTGTTAGTCATCCCAATGCCAGATTAACTCTTATCTTTTACATGTCGTTTAAGTTTGGGCAGAATGTTAAATGTTAATATATCTTATTTTTCTCTTTGTGCTCCTAAATCCCGGGAACCTTGCAGTATATTCTTTATCACCCTAACCCATACCTTGCCTTTAAATTTCAGAAAGCAACAGTCCTTTCTAGGTTCACTTTCTCCCTAGAGGCAGGACACCAGCCCTCAGAGTGGGACATGATCTGCTCAAGATAAGAAAACTGATCAAGGAAGACACAAAATAATTACACCTGTTCCAGCACAGCAATCTTGTAGCTTAAATCTTCTGACCTGCAACTGAAAATCCTATGTTCAGCAGGTTCTTCCTGCACTTCCATGGGGCCCACTCTTCTGAGTAGTCTCTGTACTTGTGGGCCTTCCTTCTGAACGTCCCCAGACCCACAATGACTCTTGACACTGTGCTCCCTCAGGAGTTTCCTCCATCTCAGAGCTTTACGCAGTGCAGTGGTTGATCTTCAGACTGACCCCCGTCTTCATATCTTCTTACCTCTCTGTAGTGATTTTTTTTTTTTTACATTCAACCTCCCTTCCAAGTGCATAGAGCACTAGAGAATGTTTGCAAGAAGGGTTGCTCCTCCATTTAGTGACTCTGTGATCTTGGATAACTTATTTAACAAAGCTGAATTTTGGTTCCAACATCTGTGAAATAAAATTTATAAACCAAAATAGTTTTGAATATTAAATATGTATGTGAATAAAAATGCCCTGCAAACTTTAAAATATAACATAAATTTAATTTTTATCATTTTATCCTTCCTACTGCCTATCCTTACATGGGAAACAAAACTTTCTTTAATTAATCTTGATGATGAAACAATCAGACTTGAATGTGGTTCGCTTTCATTTGTGCAAGAGATGACATGTTTCAGAGCCCCTTCAGGGCTCCTTGACTGGGCACCTTCCATCAGTTTTTTATTTTGCAGCAAACAGTGAAAGGTCTGCAGGGTCCTCTGAAGGGCTCACAACTTGGTGTTCCTCGCTTCAGACAGATTCCACCTCGAAGGTAGCAGGGCCTTTCAAAATTAAGTGCCCTGGTGATGCCTGGAAAATAAAAAGATATTTGTTAAGCTGAAAGTTCAATGAAAAAACTGAAGAGCGTATGATGGAGCTGGGAACTTCATTTTTCCAAGTTAAACACCAACAGGTAGGCTTGATTTCAAGAACTTCACCTTGTCCTTTTTTCAGCCATAAGATGCCATTGTTAATATAACTGCTGACCAACTTATCTTTCCTGCCATGGGAATGACCAAGTGTGGATTGGTGTATCAGTTGTACTTCTTAATACCTACCGTCCAGTACACCTTTCCAGTCTCCACACTTCTCCTATATAGTTCTTTCCAGGTCGCACAAGCCTTGCCAAGATAAACACCAGATCACTACTGTAATAATGGTGGGAAGAGGTCTTTGTTAAGGGTCCTTAAAAAGGATCTTTTTTTTATACCAGTTTATAATAACAAGGTGATTCAAGAGATCTTGATTAACTGCATGATTTCCCTAGGAGGAAAGGGAAGGGAGTAAAAGATAACTACCAAACAAGACTTCTTCTTTTTTAAAAATTTTATTTGAGGAGAGATTTTTGCTATAGGGCACGTTCACTTACCAGAGAGAGAGAGAGAGAGACAGCAAGACAGAAAGCAAGAAATCACCTCCTGGGGAGATTGCCATGCTGCAATCCCTTCTCCTCCTTTCTTCTCCTGGCATTTTGCACACACACACACACACACACACAGCATGAGTTTTAAGCCACCAGGTCTGGGAATTGAACCATGCTATGTGGAAGTCCAATTATACAACCATTATGCCATCTGGTGGTCCCCCTAAGAAGACTTCTAATGTCAGGAAGACAAAATAGTTATCAAAGACATTTTTTAACTTTTTAATTTGTTACTTTAGAGGGCAATAATGAATAGTAGTACTTTTCTACTTTGGTTAATTTTTAGGGAAAGAAAACATTGAAATGATGATGGAAAAAGGCATGATAGTTGGTATTTACCAGGCAGTACCTGGATGATGGCAAAGAGAACAGTGAAGAAAATGTGGAGTCTCATTGTTACGGAGTTGAAATTCCTGAGGACCTGATGATAAGAAAAACAGGACAAAATTAGAAGCTTGACACAGCAGCCCAAGGTCTCATGTAGAGATTAGCTTCATATGGAGCCAAGGCCCTGCCCTTCTGTCAGCAGGAGCTGTCCATATCAGCACGTCCTCCTTTCCTACTCCTTTGTCCCCATCTGGTGTTCACCTTGTGTCATGGTGAGACAGAGGTCTGAATGTGTGAAGAGGACCAGTAGAACTTAGAGTCAAACTATACCAAAGTAGAATAATTTCCTTGGCCAGCTCCATGGCCTAGTGGTTAAGGCAGCCAGATTCTACATGGCTGACTGCATGATTTGAGTCTCAGATCTGGAGACTTGTGGGGCATGAGGGCACAAAATCCCAAAAGGAGGGATGATGGATAAGAAGGGATTACAGCATGATCATTCT